TGTTCCCCACAAGTAAGGCTGTTGTTTGCCAGTTGGGTACCTGAATGTTTTCTACCACAAGACAAATAGTTTTAGGTGAGATTTTGATCTGTGGAATGTTATGGGAATAGAGCTAAATTCCCCTCTTCCAGCATCACAGTTCCAATCTGTTGAAGCCCCCATCACTGAACTGCTTTTATGTTGGATAAATCTTGCCTGATCTCCTGCTGCCGCTCATCTGCTTGTGCTCTTTGCTTCTGCACAGAACATGAAAGCCCTGCAGATTTCAGTAAAGCTGCCAGTAATTCTGAAAGAACATGTAGGTTTGTAAGGGCCAAAGCACACAGATCTAGGCCTGGCTGTTACAACCAATCCCCTTCCTTTCCTAGATCAGAACAGGAGCGTGTAGGGGAGCATCAAGGATCTGGACCAGGGGCCATGTCCCTACTCAAGAGTAACAATGAATAAAAGATGGAGTTGCAAGACACACATTTAAAGTAGTTCATTCTGCCTCACAGAATACCTGATTTTGGACGAATTTTTGCTGGTTTTAGTAGCGTGCAACTGCAATGATCCCTAGATTAACACTAATCAAAATAAATTCAGCATAACAGTTATTCATCTTGCATCCCTTTCTCCCTATGTTATTTATTCCAGAAGAGGAGGAGCTTCAGATCTGCATGGGTGTTTTTATCTGCTATAAATCTTAAAATACAGAAATCTAGGACATGGGTGTGTAGTTTATCATCATTATTATTGCATTGCATGTATTCATCCTTAGCAAACAGTATTGGCAAAGGGACAGGGAAAAATTTTGTACTCATGTTTTGCACATTAAAATATAGGCTATAGGAATACTATGCTGTTGTTCAATAGCAACAATGTAGCAAAATGAACAAAGTGCTTCAAGTTATTTTCCTTAGCCTTGTATGTGACATTTTCTCAGCTAAATACATTTTGACTGGCAATCAGATGGCCATTTTACAGTGTCGTAAAATAATGGGATCAGGAGGTGACTTGGATTACATCAGAATATATTTTCTACAGGGACCAGAAAATCTGGCTAGTCTTACTGGCCTTACTTGGAAGTAATGAAAAGACTGCCATCTAGTGTCAAAGCAGTAATAAAACTCTTAAAAATACTGTAGTTGCAACATATTATTAATCTATAGTGATGTTGTGTTTATTCTCCGTTGTGTTGATGTTGCGGGGGGGGGGGGGGTTTGGTAATCCTAGACGCCCAGTTTTGGGTGCAAGAGCAGACTTTTAATAAATTCATAGTTGAACTCTCAGCCTTCTCCCTCTCATGCAGCAGTGTGAAACCATTTTTCCCTTGCTACCACTTGGCTCTCCTCCAGGCAGAAAACTGTCATGTGATCTAATACCATTTGCACTGAAAACTTAGCTCAAACAAAAGAAAACCTACAATACAGCAGCTGCAAATGCTGGATTGGCATCTCCAAGCTGAGTTGGAAAAGCTCCTGCTTAACATCAGTGTAGCTCCTGCTACCATTATTGCTGACAATAGTGAGCCAGAACAACTAAAGGTTTGACTCTGAATAGAGCAGTGACATATGGTCCACTGAATTCAAGCTGCCATGACCCCATTGCAAAGCTGTGGAGAGGTGGCACGGGTAGCAGAAACAGAGGGTATTGCTTAATCCCCCTTTTATTAACAGCTGGGATTCCCAAAGATGGTTATGACGTTAAATGAGGAAAAGGTAACCTCCTGAACAAAAACAGAATAAAATGGTGTCCCCTCCCACCATTTCTTTCACATACATGCACACCATACCATCTTGTGCGGAGAGGCAGCGACCAAGCTTCCAGCTTGACCCATGCTTGGCAGAGAACATCTGGTTTCACCTATCAGTTCTCTCGTTGCATCTTCATTTTGGAAGAGGCGGCAACTGTGCAGCCTGCCAGATGTTGCTGGATTGCAACACCCATCAGCTTCATCTCTGGCTATATTGGCTAGGACTAGGGAGTTATAGTCTATGTAAACCCAGAAGGCCACACATTCGTCACTACTGTTTGAAAAGATCAGTATTTCTATCCCACCCCCATTTAAATAAAAGGCCTGGAGTGCAAGTTTGCATCAGGTTACATCCCTTCTCTACAACCAAATGTGAGTACTCCAGAATGTCATCACCACAGATCTGTACATCTACGCTCAACTGCTTTTCCACCTCACCCATGTCAATAAGCGGCTGCCTTTTGGTACTACCTGGAAGGCTTTTGCAGATGTGATTTGCTCTCAGGAGGAGACGTGCACTGCTGGTGCTCTTTCTTTTGGAGGTGCAATGCTGTGCAGAACAGATGCCATCATTGCCAGAAAAACCATTCTGTTTAAAAGTTTCCCACTTCAGCAAAGTGCTAGAAATCTGCTTCAAGTGTTCATTTATTTTGAAAGGCAAACTTAGATCCCCAGACAAATTACAAAACAAATGCCAAGCCATTTTTTTCCACATTGCTGTAGGCCAAATCTATGAATGAATATAACATATGACTGCTGTTCCCAGGTGAAAAGAGGAAAAGGTTTCTTACATAAGATTTTCCACCCTTGTAACTGAAAGCTTTTATTGTGTAATTGAAGCAGTCTTCTACTGACTTTTATTCTTAGTCCTGCTTTTTCCATTCTGTTCACAGCATGTTTTCCTCTGTTTTGAGAATGCTTCTGTCCTTTTAATAGCAACATAACAGTTGGTGTAGTGGTTAAGAGCACAGGACTGGGACTCAGGCGATCTGGGTTCTAGTCCCTGCTTATCAATGGAACCGACTGGGTGAGTTTGGGCCAGTCACAGACTCTCAGCCCAACCTACCTCACAGGGTTGTGGGGATAAGATTGATAGCAGGAGGAGAGTGATATAAGCCACTTTGAGTTCTTTAAAAAAAAGAAAAAGGAGGGATAGAAATCTAATACATAAATAAATAATAGAAGAATTCAACTTGAACAACATTTTTCTGGGAATTTAAGATTTGCTTATATTCAAAGTAAGATCTGAGAAAAATAGCAACTGGGCTTCCACTTCAGAGAGAATTCTTATCCCTCTTTAGAGACTCAATCCTACGCAAGTTTAGACAGAAAAAGGGCCTGCAACTTTCAATGTGCCCCACAATGTACAAAATGTAATAAGTAAAGAACTAAACTAAAATAAATAGAGAGCCAGTGTGGTATAGTGGTTAGGAGTGCTGGGCTGGAACTTGGGAGATCCAGGTGTTGGTCCCCACTCACCCATGGAGCTCACCGGGTGACTTTGGGCCAGTTACAAACCCTCAGCCTAACCTGCCTCACAGGGTTGTTGTTAAGGAGAGAACATTGAGAGGAGGAGAAATGCATAAGGTACCTTGAGTTTCTGAAAAGGAAAAAAGGCAGGATATAAATAAAATAAATAAGGAGATTATCCAAGTGCTTTTTCCATTTGCCAGGTATTTTTATTGTATTTTAAGGTATTTAAATTAATTTTAAACTCTTTTAAAACATTGCTCTTCCATATTTTTTGTATTGCATTCTATTGCTTTGTTTTAAACTTTGTTGTAAACTGTCTAGAGAGCATTGGCAATGGGACAGTAAGTAAATAAATAAATAAGGCAGGGTCAGATAGCAGCTACCATAAACAGCATTTGTGGTACTACAAAAGGACAGTTACTTCATTTGCTATTATGGGAGGATCATCATGCATACAGGAAGAAATGCTTGTGGGATTTTCTGTCTCAGATGTTAAAACAGCTCAACTTCAATTCTCTTTGATGTGTGGTGGTGGGATGGCTATCAGCTACCTTGAGTGCCATTTTTTGACAGAAAGATGGGGTGCAAATAAAATAAATCAGTAAATCTGCTCCTTCACTACAGGCAGCAAAACATCTTGGGCTGACCCTATGTTTGTAAGTGATGCTGTCATCCTCAAATTGTGCTGTCTTCCAGATACTTTGGATTAAAGCTTCCAGCATACTGGACCATTGGCCATGCTGGCTGGGGTCCTTTGAAGTTGAAGTAACACAATATCTGAAGGCATCAGGGTGATGAAGACTGTTCTAGGTAAAGGCCAGGAGAATTTCTCCTGGGTTTCCCCCCCCCCCCCCCATTATTGATTTGGTGCATTTTGCATTTAAAAAGTTTTTATTTTCAAACTGTATTCCTCCCTAAAAGAAGAAATGCTATAGACCAAAACAATCAGGGAACAGTTCACCAGGCAAAAATTTGTTTTCCCTTTCAACTTTTTGCCAGAGTGGTCCGAACATTTAACTATGATTGTGTAGCTGTTCCTTCAGCAGCCGTTTCCCATGCCATGAAGAACTTCATCTGGGTACCTCAGACCAAGAATCGTTTGGATCTGTTATTGTCATTATTATGCTGATTGCATACGTTTACATCTAAACATATCTGCAGTTTCACAGAATCATAGGATAGTTGGGTCAGAAGGGGAAAGAAGGTCATCGAGTCCAACCCCCTGCTAGTGCAGGACGCCAGTTACACCATCCCGGTCAGAAAACTGTCCAATTGCTCCTGAAAGACTCTGGTGTGGAAGAGAACACAACCTCTCTTGGCAGCTAGTTCCACCGTCGTACTGCTCTCGCAGTTTACTTTCCCTTCATTATATGACATTTGCGTATCTGTCTGTGAAACGTCGGTTATGTTTGGAAATGTGAAAGTTGAAGTAACATTTTGAATATTAGAAAACAAACAACCTTTCCCCACGCCACCGCTCTAGCAAAGGAACCGGAGTAACCCAACTGTTTTCCCCGCCCCGTTCAGCCGGTAAGCCTGCGCTGGAATTGCTTTTTCATCCGACTATTTCTACAGTTTCCTCAGACTACAGGTTCCAGAGTTCCTGGGGGAAGGGCAACCATGGCATGCCATTCGGGTTCTGCAGAACGGGGTTAGATTCGCAGCATAGGCATTTATGCTATTCTCCCAGGGCGCAAAGCTACGGATATTTGGGCAGAGGGGGAAAGTCCTACAACTCCCAGCGTTCCTCAGTCTGCTGGGGAACGCTGGGAGTTGTAGGGAGTTCCTTCCCACGCCTAAGAGGCGCAGGGTTGCGCCCTGGGAGGATAAATGGAACGCCGCAAGCCGAGCGATTGCAGAGTCTTTGGTGTGCGGGGGCGGTTGAAAGGCTCCCAGAAGCTTCCAGCGGGAGGAAAAAAAGATCACCTCGAAACAAATGACGGCAGTCACCCACGTGACGTGCTGTGACGTAGAGCCGGAGAACCAACAGCCGAAGTAGAAACAGGTGCGGTAGCAGCAGCAAGAGGAGAGTATTTCTTTCACGTATGTATAAGTTGGTGTTTCGAGTTCTGCACAGTCCGGAGATAGTCGTCGCTTTCCGGGTCCCGTGAGTGAAGGGGAAAACGGGGCTGGGAAACAGCAGTAGCGTGGAGAAGAAGAAAAGAGCAAAGCAATAATAAATCGCTGTTAAATTAAATTTTTGAGCTGAAAGGTCCTGGGTGCGCTTTCTGCCTCGGCTCTTCTGCGCCCCACCCACTTGATTCGCTATGCGTGGGGGCTGGTTATTGCAGTTGAAAATACAATTAGAGTATGCTTAGCGGCCTTCTTTTTGACGGAGAAAGTGCAGTGTTTTTTACACCTAAAAATAAGTCCCGGGGTTGAAGCCGTGATAAATCCAGGATCAGATTATGCCCTGGGGATATTTCTTGCCGTGTTTTCGTGCGTTTGTAGAGAAATACTTGACTTCATTTCATCGCCTGGCTTGACAGTGTTTGCAGGAGACATTTACGTTGCTGTTAGTGGAGCCTTTTAGCGTTGAGAGCTAGTTTTTTTGTGCTTTACGGAAATGCAGCTGTTATTTTGCAGCCTGATTCTGTCCCTGTTCGGTATGAATGAAGCCAGCTCTGTTCAGTGATATTTAGTTTCAAATGAATATTAGGTAGTGCTGTATGGTTATTCAGAACTAAGTTCTACTGAGTTCAACAGCACTTGCTGTTAAGCCGTTTTTCCTAACTTGGTGTTATCTGTTGCCTTTTGGTCTTCGATTTCCATCTACCCAAATTAGCATACTTAATGGTCAGGAATGCTGGGAATTGTAGCCCAAAACATCTGAGGTGCACAGGGCTGCTCTTAAATAAAAAGTACACAGAATTTCAGTCATAGCATGGGCAGTGGTGGGCAGTTAAAAGCCTACTTTGGGCCTTGTTGTTTTTCTTCCATTTGTATGGGATATTTTGTTGTCCTACTGTGAGATATATTGGCCATAACTAGTACATTTGGAAGGGGCACAGTGTTTGTTTAGTACATTCTTATCCTACCTTTCTTCCATCAAGGAAGTCAAAGTGGCACATAAAAGGTTAGAGATGTAAGGGTCCAGGAAAAAAAATGGTTTTTTGTCCTGCAAATGTTTCTGAAAAAATCATGTTTTGAAAAAGGTTTTAAAAAAGAGGGAGCATTCACATCTCTATGGTCTTTCATGCTGGCACTGAACAGACCCAGCACTACCTGGGAACATAGGAAGCTGCCTTATACAAAGCCAGACCCTTGGTCCACCTAGCCCAGAATGTCAGCATGGGCAGTGGCTCTGTGGGGTTGTGAGCAAGATGCTTTCCTAACTGCACCTGGAAACATCAGAAATCAAATTTGAGTCCTTCAGCATGCAAAGCAGGTCTTCTGCAACCAAACTATGGCCTTTTCTTAGCTTCAGCCAAGGAACCCATATCATCTTCCTTCATATCAATTGCCCTGACAGAATTCATTTTGGCTGAATAGAATAGAATAAGTTTTGGAATGGGCTTAAGTCCAACCCCCTGCCCTGTTTCCATATGCAGTCACCCATCTGGTTGTAGGCTTGCATCTTTTCAGCTCAACAAAGGTGATTCAACATGCTGGCTGGATGTATAGCTATTGAAACTGCTAGGATGATTCTGCCCAAGCGGAGATGAGCTTGAACTTTACAAAATGAAACTAAAGCTGGCTGCAATCCAGCAAAAGCATATGACTGCCTTACTTCCCTTTTCATGTGCACTGCTGACATTCACTATTTAGCACTCCAGTGCGTTGCATGTTGATTGTTATTCAGAGCAAAATCTGAAGAGCACTTTGACCTAACATCACAAGCTTACAATTGCATTTGTCGCAGAATTATCGCGCTTCATTGCACCTTCCCTCAAACACTCCCAATGGTCATGCTTTCAAAGCTGAAGTTTCCATGTTCTTACGGGTACAGTTTTTGAGCTACTGACTTGATTTCTTGAAGAAGGTCTTTGCTTGTCCTAAAAGGATGTTTGGCTTGGCATTTGGCAACTGTTTCAAAACCCAATATGAATTCCTGTTGAACTCACTGTGTAAATATGCTTAGTCTCATGCTGCATATTTGAATACTAAAAACACAATAGCACAGTGGTGTGTGATTAGTGTGAACAAGGCTAGGATAATTATTTGTTGTGAACTATATCACTTCAGTCTATAGTCCAGAGGCTGCACAACACAGTGCTCCTGCAACGCTTCCTCCACAAACCTTTGTACACATGAAAAGCTTCACTATTTGATTCTCCTTATCTTCTTCTGTAAATTTGCAGATGCAACCATGTATCTGCAACTTAGACTTTATATTGGAGGGAGCTTAGCCTACTGAATGCATATTGAAATATCATAGAATATTAAAAGCTTTTAAAAGCTTTTAATCATTAAGGAGCAACTCCTGCACTAGTGCACTAAGTCTCCTATTGAAGATTAGATACTTTTGACTTGCATCAGCTTACAACCCTCATAAAGATATGTAGACTTTTTATTGTGCATTTTGAGTTAACCTGTAAATTTACAGCAGCAGGAAAGGGCCAGCCAGTCTAACTCTTATAGATTGAGGTAATATTTCTTTAAAGACAAGAGAGCCTGTTTTTTTTCCCAGAAAATTAGGAACACTAGATAACCCTGAGGCATAATTCAAGACTTACATCCAAAATATTTTCAGAGACTCACTTTCTCGCATCCATATAATAGATATCTTCTAACCGAAATGTTTGCTTATGCTTTATGTCTCCAGTTATACATGCTGAGTTCCAGTTTCCAATAATGACTGAACACCCAGATTCAACTATGCAAGCAGATATGAATGTGAAGGCGATTGAAGAGCAATATAAAAAAGCTTTTGTGTATATTAATAAAGCCCTCAATACAGATGAAGTGGGACAGAAGGAAGAAGCCAGGAATTATTATAAAAAGGGTCTTGACCACTTGCTCAGGGGAATTAACATTCCATCCCAAGGGTCTGAATGCACAGGGCCCCAATGGGAGTCTGCAAGGCAAATGCAGCAAAAAATGAGAGAGACTCTGCAAAATGTCAATGCTCGCTTGAGCATTCTGGATGAAAATGCACAGCCTAATCCGACTGCAGTGTCCCCCCCCAAGAGGGACGCCCCAGTTATATCCAGCAATTCCACCCAAAGAAAAGCCAGAGAGGCCTCCTGTACCAATTTCGATGGTGTCTCCATCTCAGCCACTTGCAGCTGGTGGAGGTTTTGGGACTACAAGCCAAGGGCAGGTGGCTGTGGTGTCTCCATCTTCGCTGCCTGTTGAGGCACCCCCTGCTTATACCCCTGAGGCCACTGATGGACACTACACGGTTTCATATGGGACAGACTCTGGGGAGTTCTCATCTGTTGGAGAGGACTACTACACTAAGTGCACACAGCCACCTCCTGTTCAAAGTCTTGGAGTAGATGCTGATGAGCTGATCCTCATTCCTCATGGTGTGCAGATATTCTATGTGGCCCCTGATGGGCAGGTCAGTGCTCCCTCCTATCCTGGATACCTCCGCATTGTGAAGTTCTTAGATACTGAAGCTGCAGCGGCTCAGAATCGCCCTCCTGCTTTCCTTCAGGTAAGGCCTAGACTTCTACTTGTACTACTCAAATGCTTTGGTGGGCTTTTTGAAGAGATGCCATTAACCTGGTTCATATATAACCTTAGCCTATGGTTTATTTAGCCAGGGTATGTTGCCCCATGACTTATTTAACCAATGGTGTCTGGCAGATGATTGAATAAACAAATAGAGAAACAAACCATAGTTTTGTTCCTTATCTCTGGGTTCTTTCCCTCCTTCTTGCCTACTTCTCCCTGTATGCCTGATATCTTTGTAGGACTGTACAGGCATGTGCAGAAGCTAGTTTATTTGACTGCTACTGAACATCTCTGTAGCCTGACAGAAAAAGCCATGTTTCTGGATACCCATTTAAGAAAAGCCCAAACTTCACAACCTGCAACAAACCACAAGTTCTCCTTCTTGGTTCTTCGTAGTTACATGTGAATGCAGCTGGATTCACACATACAGGAAACGTGCAAGATGAACTTCACCATGGATTAATGTTGTTAGTAGCTGTTAAAACACTAAAGCTTATCTTTTTGTGCTGTCCAGGGACACTGATTTTCAAACTGTATTCTATGATGCTTATGGAACTTCCACAGTGAAAATAGTCTGATGTCAAACAAACTTCTGAAACCTTTCCTCCTCTATCCATTTTCCCATGTACTGGAGAGCCACTAGAAAGCACTGGGTGGGCTGTGAGGTGCTCTCTGTTAATGCAGGGCCACAGTGAAGTCCAAAAGTGTTGGGCAGCACTCAGTGCAGGCACAATATGCAATTCAGGACATGGCTTAGGCATTCTTGGAGGGTTTTCATGGCTGAATTCTTGCCTTGGCAAACAGATGCTTATTTTTTATTTATTTATGAAATGTGTGTTGGATTGCCATGGAAATTAAGATCGATACATCTTTTTAATCTTTCATAGAGAACCATTTTGAAATGCCCGTTCTTATTTTTTGTATTTTAAAATTATATTCTACTTTTTAAAAATTCCCAGGGCATTTTGGAACTTTTTAAAAGAACAGGTTTTTTTCCCCGGAATCTTTCTGGTAATATACCAGGGTTTCCTTCACCCTATCCCAAGACTTTACATCTCTGCATAGCATTTCTATTACATTTATATCCTGCCTTTTTTCTGCAAGGAACCTGTTGTAGATTACATAACTCTCCTCTTCCCCTCTATCTTATTTTTACAAGAACCCTGGGAGGTAGGTTAGGCTGGGAGGCAGCAAATGGCTCAAAGTCACCTAGTGAGCTTTATGGCTAAGTAGAACCTGGTTCCCTTGAGTCCCAGTGTAGCACTCTATGTCATGCTGGTTCACCACACTCAGTTGTGTTGCTCAAGATCCTTGTTCAAGGTATCCAGGTTGTCAGAAGTATCAACAACAGCACATTAAGTGCCTTCGAAGTTACATTTTGTACAAAAAATTATAGCAACACACCAAAACACTGTTTAATAGTAGTTCAATTTTCAGTATTTGGGTATGTTTGCATACAACTCCATTTACTGGTTCTTTTATGCTTGTAATTAAACTTAAACTCTTAATTGCTAATGTATTATTCAGTAAGAAAAGCAGCATTCAGCTCAATGTGTCCACTTCTCCATCTCTCTTCCAGGTTTGTGACTGGCTGTATCCCCTTATGAACAATCAGTCACCGGTCCTCTCCTGTAACACCGGAGTCTATATGTTTCCTGATCTGATGTCTCAGGTATCAGGATCATATGTGGGAGTAGTCTTATCTTCAGAACTTCCAGCAGCTGACAGAGAACTGTTTGAAGACCTGCTGAAGCAGTTGTGTGACCTTAGAGTTCAGGTAACACCAATATTATTCCATTCAGCTGAGTAATTTAAAACAAAACTGTGTATGAGAATAATTGAGTGACATGGGTGAGCCCTGAAAAGTCTGGGTTGTGGAGCACAACAAACACATTTCATTATGACCAATATGAGGACTTGCATAAATTAATGGCTCTGTCACACACATTGAATAAACTACCTATCAATTCTGGACATTGTATAAGATTAAAAAAAAAATGAAATCAAACAGCTTTGTTGAAAACATGCTTCTTGAAAGTTCTGGGCTTCTGGTTTCTGTTCTCTTTCTAAGGTCACATGTGCAAAAACACAGAGGGGATAATATTATTGTTTGCATTTATGTGGTGGCAGTGCTGAGCTAAGATGTAGTTAAGACAAGGGGACAGCATAGGAAAGGGCAGCTGGATACAGATAGGATGGAACAATGGAATGGACTGAAAAGGAGAGATATCATAGTATAGATACAACTTCTAGTTCCTGTACTCCCATGTGCTTTGGCAACAAAGAAGTTGTCATGACTTCTGGGCATATGAGACACCCTACCTGGGAACATACAGTTTTTGATGTTATAAAATGTTGTATTGAATTGTGAATTAACATGTTTTAGTGATCTGATTTCCACCATTCCTTAAGAACCATGAGAACTGTCAATAGCAAACTGGATAAAAATTGATTTATTTTTTTCCTTGGTGATTTAAATTGTAATGTGTGATTATTAGCTTCCACCATGTGTGAAGCTTATATGATTTCCCCCCAGAACTATTGGGCAGATATATGAAAATACATCTACAGGATGACAAAGTATTATAGCTAGATCAGTTGCTCACACTGGTCAGAGCAAAATCTCATTACTATAGATATTTACAAATAACATTATTTTTATGAGACTAGAAAGAGGCAGCTTGATCGCAGTCTGATCTTGAAATACATGGAAAAGTTATTTGAAGGTCCATCACTCCAGCAAATATTCATTCTAGCAAACATTGTTATCGATGTGAGAAATTTATTTATTTAAAACATTTGTATGCTACCCATTTGTGCTGCAGCACCTCTGGACAGCTCACAGTCATAAGATAAACAAAACTAAACTACAATACAATGTTAATAAAATAAGGACAAAAATATGAAACAGAAGGTGCAATGGCATTAACTATTAAAATATTTATTAAGAGGCAGACTTCAACTATTGAAAGCAGATTTTTAGCACTGAAATTAAAATGGCTTACAAAAAGGAAATGAAAGTCTGCTATTTGTGTTAATGAATTAAATCACTTTTGCTTAAAATATTATCTTTAAAAGATTGGCTTCAGTCCATTGAAAAATTAGTCATATGGTGGTTAACAACCTGCTATTGCTTATTTACATGGTCTGCAAATGCATAGTGATCTTTACTAATACATGAGTCCATCTGTGTGTAGTTCATTAAAAAGATAGTTCCTGGACTGTGTGACATGGTAGGCATGTCATGAGCGGAATTGGCTGGACCTGGGGGTCAGACTAGATGGCCTGGGAGACCCTTTCTGACTCGCTTCTGTTTCTATATTATTGCCTGTTACTGTGCTACAGTGCAGAACAGATTCCTTGCTGAGCCTTCACACGTGTTGAACCTATTAATGTCCTTGATATATGATACCACAGGTTCCAGGATCCCATGAGAGAATAGGGTTATCATCAGAACATTCAAGATCTTACAAAGAGCTTTTTGAGGATCTGTTAAAACAGAGATCTGATTACAGAGCCAAGGTAAATTTTAGGATTTCAACTTAAGAGTGGTGGCAAATTACTAAGTTAAGACATGTTAAATTTCAGAAATTGAAATTATCATTGTTTTGTGATGTAAAAAGTATATTTATTGCAAATAAACAATGATTGTTGTGGAAGAAATAGTATTTAAAATATGATTCATAGGGTTAATGTTTGGTAACCTACATTAGTATGCAATATATACAAAAATACATCTATCAGGGTAAGAATAGATGAGCTTTGGGAAACAAATAATGAAATGGACCAAGGTATAAGTAAAACATTATGCAAAGACATGTTAAGAGTGTAGAAACCAGAGCAGGAACTAGAAACAAGTTCTGTCACTGAATTCCAGAAATATATTTTATGAAGGAACAACACTGTTATTGCTGTGTTGTTCCTTCAAAGAACGCAGGGCTCTGTTTGTATGTATTTACAACACTGGCATGGTTCAGATGTAGCAACCTTAGGTTGCCATCCAATATGGCTGCCTGTAACACTCTAAATTCACAGGATCACAGGTATCCAGTTGATGATGGGAGGAGGGGCTGAGGCACTGCTGGAATTGCTTGTATCCCAGTGGAACACCGCTCCTCCCCTTCCTGTCTGCTTGCAGTATCCCCTTGTGTAGGCTCCAAAGTTGCAGTTGTGACTTTGGAACCTCAGCTGGTGTGGAAAAAACTGTACTAGCTGTGAGTCCTAGCTCCTAACTCAGAAAGCATTTCTAAGGATGGAGTTGGAACCCCAACAATGTCTAGCAGCCACGAGACTGGAGCCTTATTCTGCTAAACCCAAGTCATCAGACCGAGAATGAATTTTTATACCTGTGTTTTCCATTCTCTCCTCATGGTTTTGCTGGTCTTCAAGGAAAGAATTGTGCCTTGCTAAATTACACTCACTTGTGACAGTCAGGCCATATTAAGAAATAGTGGCTTAAGTGTTTCTTAAAAACAGAGACATTTTATTTTATCATTAAACAAGTCCGCATTTTCACAAATCACAAGAAGGCTCTACAGGAAATTGTTTGTCCATTTTTTGAAGATTACAACATTCTGAGTTGTAAGATCTTTAGTACAGTCCAAAAATTCTGATTGAAACATTGTTGCACAAGCAAATTCAGCATAATACAGTTTCCTTAGCTAATTTACAAATTGATGAAAAGGGAATAGTATGAAAGTTGCTCTTGTGAGTTCTAGAAAATAATCTAATACAGAACTTTTCTAAAACATTTTGGAGGTTGTACTTAGCAATTGTACAGCAGCAATTGTACTTAGCAAAATTGAGCTTTGGTCTGAATTACCAACTACCTATTTCTGTTTCAAGTGATTCAGTTAAGGAGCTTTTAGTGGATTAATCAGAGACTCATCAGTTGCTTATATTTGGCTCCTGCTGTTCACATGAATGACGGTTATTTTTAACTGATAAGCATGTATGCAATATCGACAAAATAGACAGTGAATCAGTACTTTTAAGGAATGACATTAATTTCAGTTTATTCACTGCTGTACAATAATTACCATCCTAGGGCTCATTGATCATACAATAAGTTTAAGAGCTATGTAGCCCTTACATTCTGGTGTAAGATCCTAATGCACCTGTTTGAGTGAAATTGACATGAGCGAAATTGGGTAGCCTGGCATGTCAGTGTTGTTCACTGAACAGCCCACAGTACTTCTGACAGATTATCATACTTAGATTCTTTCCCCTCATTCCTCCTTAGTTCTCATGCCAGCTCAGGCATGGATTGCAACTGCCTTTGCAGCATAACAACATCTTGTCTCATGGCCTCAGCTTGTGGGTCAGTATTTTTTATGTAACTGAGCCGCTGGAGTTGCCAGCTACAAAGACCACCCCGCAACTGCCCTCATATCAACAAATGGAATTAACTTGCAGAGCCCTTTTGCATGAAGGAAGGGATTCTCAAATTTGGAGTGGGGGGATTTCATGCTTGTGCCTGGCTATCTGATATTTAGCCTGACATACTGATAATCTCTGTTTTGTCGATTCATTAATCAGTTTCTTCCTCCATTTTGGCACTTGCTTTTGAAGTGTGCTTCACTTTATGAGAAAATAGGAGTACCTTCTCAAAACATCTCTCCAGCCACTTTTGGATCCCATTCCTGCTTTTAACCTCACCCTGTTTCTAGCTCTATCCTCCATATGCTTATAGAGCAGTAAGCAGGGCTGGTAAACATTCATGACAAAGCAGTAACAGAGAGGGCGAAATTGAGTACATTTCAAGGCCGAGAAGCAAAACAGTAGCCAAAACAAAAACAAACCCCACAGATATCATTGCTACCATGGTAAGAACAATCCTGAAAAAGCCATGCCTTCTCAGGGTGGCTTGTTTGTATAAAATAAGCCACGTTGTAGAAACTGTGTCGGGTTTGCATAGTATGATTGACCCAACATGGTTGAGCACCCATGGTGGTGTATCATGTCATGTAAACCAGGCTATTGTATCTGAACTGAACCTTACAACTGACAAAATAATACTAAAGTGCCACAGCTGTGGCTGTACGTAATTGTGATAGTTCCACTCCGCACTCAGTGAATTGCCAAAATAAATTTTGAATGTGCATGTCAGCCCATCTGCATTGTTGTAACTTTTTACAATGTGGATTGATGTGTGGTTTCTAATCCAAAATGGGTCTGTCCTCCCTGACAAAAGCTCTATCACAAGCTCGATGTTGTCTGTTCGTGGCTGTGCCAGTGCGCAAAATACCAAGAACAAAAGAAATGAATGCACTTCTGTTTGTATATTTGGAAAGGGAAAACATGTAGAAATAAATCCACCCCCTTTCAACCAAAATAGCTTCAGTCCTAACTCAGTGAACAAAGAGATGCAAGGCGAGGGTGCTTAACAATGTTGAATGAAGAAAAAACAGACTTTTCCTGAAATTGCAGTTGCAAATAGCTCTTGGGCACTGGTCCTTCTTGCTCTTAAATGTAAATAATTTGTGCACAGCATGACTTCTTATGATTAAAAAGCTGCTAGTTAACTAATAAAACATTAAAATGTAGTATGAATTTATATTTAAAGTGCCCGGTGAGAACTATACAGCTGAATTCATTGACACACAAAAAAACATAGGTTAAGAAATGTAACTAGGTAATCCCAATTAAATTCCCAGAACTGGCCGGCCTTATTTTGACATCTAAAACACAGCAAATTGGGAACAAGCTGACTATATAAAATAATTTGGAATTATACTGACAGTGCATGCCATATCACAATTGAGCTGAAAATGTTACTTTTGATACATGTTATCTGTGAAAAGATTAAGCACTGAACTATTCCAAAGTTATGCAAATATTATGGGTGGAAGAGGCAAAGGGCACTTGATTAAAGTCCAGGCCTCTCCCTATTTAAGCTAAATGTATACTTTTCTAAAAACTGTACTCTGTGTAGCACAAAAGCGAGACAAGCTAGTTGCAATGTACAATTCTTTGTAGTGTAACTTGGTAGCTGATTTGACACTGCATTGCTTTGTTATATTTTCTTGTGCTCATACTTCATTCTTTTAGCCTACAGAGGCTTCAAGCAGTGTCATCAACCTGGCTGATACTGTTCCTATTCAACCAATGCCTGAGCAGAGAGAGAGAGAGTTGCCTGAATGGAGTGAGAAGGTAGCCCATGGAATCTTAACAGGTACTCTCAGAATTGGTAGAATAGATATTTAATATAATTTCCCCATTATGGCAGTGTGAAGAAATTATTTTCCATCCTAAAGGCATGAAAGAATAGCAAACAATTGATTCCATCCACATTTGCAATAGAACTCTTTGGAATTTGCTTAGGGGTGTATAAATATTTGTTCTCTGATATTATCTTATAAGGCACTGAAAGGACAGAAAATGAAAAGCTTGAACTTCCAGGTTGATTACACAAATAGCTGACCAGTAATCCAGCACTAAATCATTGGGATGCCATCTGTCATTGGAAATGTTTACTGTTTGATAGTAATAGGATGTTACTGTCTGTTAATAGGACTATAATGTATGTTTATATTACCTGGACCATAACCAGTTTGTTGACTTTGAGAAGTGAATTGAAAAGATCTCAAATGGCTCACCGTTCTCTCTGATGAAAATATAAAAATGGTTTAAATAAATAAATAAATATAGTATACCATAAGAACAAGTTGCCTTTCCTGAGGGTGGTCTGTTTATTCCCCCCCCCCCCAACAAACCACCCTGACAAACCATGGACTGTAATGGGATTTGTTTCACCTGTGGCAGGTTGGTGTGTTTCAGGAATCCAGGTAACCATCCTGTCTTGAGGTTGTGGGCTTTTAAACAATCTGTGCCTCCCTATGTCCCTGCAGGGGAAAAAAATCATGGGAACAGCTTCCAAAGTAACTGGAGTTTGATAACTAGTTGTCAAACTGTTCTGCTCCACTAAAAAGGGGATGTATGATGGAATGTTCACAAGTATGACATACCCACAGCCAGTGGTCTGAAGCAGTGCAGACTAGACCTCTACTGCCTCATTCTGTACAATGTGTAGAACCACTCTAAACTTCCATGGTGGAGATGGCATCTGCAATTTTAGTTGCTTTCCAGTCATGGCCAGCATTTTCTGCTGAGCATTTGCAATAGTGCTTCCTATTGGCTGTGGAATAAGTCATGGAGCAGAAATAACATTTGATGGGAGACTGATGCAGCACTGTCTTGCCTGACCTAAGGATGGTAAAGGCAGCATGCGGCACTTGTTCTCCAGAGCTGAAGCCTGCTTCCCTGAAGGGAAGAACACCTAGTATGATTGCCCCTGCCTTTTCCAGCCTTAAAGGCCAGGATGCTTAGCTGTTCTGTTCTTAGTGATGAGTTCTGCTTTATAATTGCAGTTGCTTCTGTAAGGTGAAAGCCAGACTTAAATGTGGAGGTGGGGATTCCCAAAGAGGAATGCCATGGCCAAAGGCACTTTGTTCTTGCTGCTCATCTTTCACTATGCTAAACTGGACTTGCCGGGTGTGCAGAAAGAAATGCTGTCCTAGGGGCTACCTCTCGCTGCTGCTGCATCACTCTTGTTTGTGTTCAAAGGAGCCTCCTGGGTGAGCTGGGGCCTGGTCAAAGGAGCAGAATATACTGGGAAAGCAATCCAGAAAGGAGCTTCTAAACTCAGGGAACACATTCAGCCAGAAGAAAAGCCTTTGGAAGTCAACCCAACTGTAGCAAAGGGACTACATGTCACAAAGCAAGCTACAGTGGGAGCTGTGAAAGTCAGTCAGTTCCTAGGTAAGAGCTGAATATCTTGTTCTTGGGGATCATTCCGAGATAACTTGATAGGCTTTATTTCTTAAGTCTGTCATTTGTTTTTAAAATGAACATGATTTTAAAAACTACGCTATAGGGGCTACATGAACATGGAGGATATGAGGCCATAGATCTTCATGTTTAACATAAGGCTATTTGTTTTCAGTGAGAGATTAAAGTCTTTAAATTTCAATTATCTTTTCAAAATGTTTTACAATCTAAAGCTACTTGGATGTAAACATAAATAACACTAGGCATATTTAGCCCATTTCCATCCTTGCTTTCTCCCAAGAAGTTTATGGAAGCATAATCACAAGTCTTCCCTCTTCATCCTTCCAAACTCCTGAGGGATTCATTAGGCTGAGAATTCTTGTGTGGCATGAGGCCACCCAATGAACCTCAGGGCAAAGCATGATCTGAAGATGCTTTCTCTTGCCTTAATCTTGCATCCAAATAACTGAAACATGCATGGCATAACAAGGTCTCACCTGTACCTTTAAAGTAACTGGACATGTCTGCATAGTTATTCTTGTGTCCCAACTAAAATGTTCCCTTGGACTGTTATGGCTCAGACTGTATAGCACTGAGGGATCTGCCTTATAGCAGATCAGACTATTTGTTCATATGGCCCAGTATTGCCTCCTCTGACTGTGGGCTGCTATCAGGGCAGAGAAGTCTTTTCCATTCATACAGAACATATGCTCTGCCAAGCAGTGGTCCTTTGCCCTGTAGATAGTTGAATGGAAATGCAAGTGAACTCTGTAAGCTTTCAATATAAATAGATGCAGATGCTTTTAACTGTCTGAGGCTGCTGGGTGCAGTAAGACAGGAATTTTGCCTGATATCAAGCAGGAACTATGTCTTTAAGAAGCTTTGGTTCTCTGGTTTGTATGAAGAACCAATGGAGATAACCTTTGCTGAAATATCATAGTATCAAAAGCTGCCTTCACTAAGTGAAATTGTTGGGTAAATAAGTCATTAATGTAACGCTTGATGCACCTTAACAGATCTTTGAACTGAATGGCTCAAGTAGGAAATTAAAATGTCAGTTTCAATCATGTTTCTGTTGTAGTTGATGGCGTGTGTTCTATAGCAAGCTGTGTTGGAAGAGAGTTAGCTCCTCATGTCAAGAAGCATGGAAGCAAACTAGTCCCAGAATCCTTAAAGAAAGACAAAGATGGAAAGTCTACTTTTGATGGAGCTCTGGTTGTAGCAGCAAGTGGAGTTCAAGGTAGCAATTCTTGAAATGTTGTCAGTCTGTGCTCTAAGTTGTGTTAAATGATGTTTGTTCGCTGCCTTATGGTTCTAATAACTTGACTTAATTTGCAGGGTTTTCAACAATCTGGCAAGGTTTGGAAAGTGCTGCGAAATGCATTGCTAAGAATGTATCGAAAGAGACAGTTCAGACTGTCAAGTACAAGTGAGTTAATTTTTTCCTCTGCTCTCCCATGCATTTTGATAATGTAGTAATTTTAGGCAATTGTAACCCCATGCATATTGCTAAATAATACAAACACCCTTTCTTAGTTGGAGCCAAACTAGATATGAGCATGACAGTTCAATTTATCTAGATCATTGCATAAAACAGAAAAAAATGTATTATTGAACGGGTTGCCTTCATCCATAGCCTTTTCCTCTCCCACAAGCACTTTTTTCCTCAGATGAACTGTTGAACCAGAAGTTAACTTTACTGGGAGCTAAGTACTTCAGAGGAAAAGCTGCAGGAGGTAAATGGTGGGCAGGAGGAAGTTCAATCTACATGTCCTTTTTTAATTATTAAAACTGGGCCATCCACTCCTTTTTTCAATGTAATTGGAGCAATTCAGCTTCTAAACACAACTGCTGCTTTCCGGTAAAGGCCAAAGAGGATACAGTGAGTCATTTCATATGCTATAGTCTCTACCTAAATTGGGTTCTCATTAAATAAATGCTCTTCATTTGCCAGCTGGACTTCATTCAAATGCTGCAACCGGATGTATTTCAATGGTAGGGGCAGTTGGTGTTGAGGAAAATGCCAGTATATGTAGATAACATAAGTGATAATCTGTGACTGTGTAAAATTTTATTCAAAAGAAGAGGGTTTTTTTAAATTAAACTTTCTACAAGAAGTACTACTTAATGAGGCAGACTACTTGGGTGTCATTAGATGGTGATAGTAGGATGACATGGAAAAAGACAATGCAAAGGACAGGCTTGTGAATAGCTTCTCACCTAACCTCACGGACTAGGGGAGAATGATCCATATCAGCATAACTGATTCAGTATATATGAGCATTTTTATTAGTCAAAATGTGGCCTGAAAGCTGTGTTGGACTAATGACTGCTGGACAATAGAGCAGGCAAAAGCAACTTATAGGTAATGGCTATGACCAAAGTGTAAAGGGAGGGGGAAATGGCATTGCATGTTATTGGCATGAGATAGAGAAAAGAAGAAAGTATAAGACTCTTAACTGGAAAATGATGACGGAATGGTAATAAGGCTTGAGCAAAGTACAAGTTAAAAGCTGGTAAGCAACTGGCAATAGTAAACTTGTTTATATATTTCATTATGTAAAATAATTATAGTACAAAACACAAAGACTGACTTGATGAACAAAAATGACATGAAAGTGAATGAGGCTAAAAGTCAGCCTGTAGTGTGATTAATAAAATGAAGTCCAGTTTTGATTGCTTTCTAATTGAAATCACTTTTTAGGTTAAAAAAAGACAACTTTTGAAAGGAGCTTAGAGTTGGCATGGGAGCAAAATGGAATTGTTGGAAAATGTCTGTGCCAATTCGTTTTAAACATATCACTTCGGACTTGCACTATCTATCAATGTGGCTGTCAAGATATTATTTGGTGCAGTTTCTTCCCTAATTCTACAAGTTTGGAGTCTGCCTCATCTGAGCAGCAGCATCTTCTGTCAGAGTCATCACGCATTTATGAAGTATCTTTTACTGGAAAGACTGAAGAATATGTTCTGTTTCTCTACTACAATATTATTTTTTCTTCTTATTTTAGATTTAAAAATAGGGAAAAAGGAGATCAGCCTTCACTGGCCTCTAAGAGTGAAAAGCAATAAGTAACTTGCACTTATCTACAACTAACAATTGTTTTGATAACTTTCTTTGAGTATTCACCCCATCTCTTACCTGTTTGTGTAAGGTTATAAAATCATGCAACTCGGAAGAAGTTGCTCAGAATAAATCCCAAACTCTAGACATTTAAACGGTTCCTGAAATCAGGCCATGGTAATGCAACTGTGAACTAAACAGCAGTATCTGAATATGACAGACTCTCCAAATATTGAATAACGAATAGTCCAGAGTAGAATTTCTTGCTTCCCACCCCTCCCCGCCCACACACACATTGTTCTGCAGTGTAGTTAGCTCCTTGGAGAAGCTACTGACAGACAAGTAAACAGTTTATTGGTTCAGCAGGAAAATTTTACATGGCAATTGGGAGATGGCAATTTATCCCCCAAATATATTGGGTATTTCCCATTTTGTAATAGTTTAGGTAATTTGGTATAATAGAATATTTATGACTGTTCTGGCCAAAAAATCTGATAATTTAGATCCATATCTCTGCTGCTACAGGAAGGTTTGTTTTTTCCTGATCTTTCTGCTGTAGCTAATCATAACCGTATAAACTGTTTTCCTAGTTTAGATCTTCTGACTCCAGTCTTATGACCCCAACCACTCCCTTGTTTATGACTGGGGATGAAAAATCAGTTAATGTTACATTACTGTTCTGTAAAGTATTTAAAAATATTTCCTTAATGTTAATTTTGGTTCTTGAACTGCTTTACTGCTGTATTTTTACCCACCAATAGTAAATATAAATTCAAATTATGTTCCTAACAGGTATATTTCAATACTCACGTTTGAGATGGTGTGAATAGTCTTGTCATTTTGGTACTGCTTCAATCAATTCCATTATCTTTAAATATTGGTGTGTTTGGCTCACTATATCATGGAGAAAATAACCCCAGAAATAATTTTGACATCCAATTAATTTGATCAAATTTTCTATATTTAGCAAATATAGTTATAAGGCTGCTATGTTGTCGATAAGAAACTTTTAAGACTATGGTACTGGATCCCACCCTCTTCCATTTAGTTCTGATGTGTGTTCTGAAACAGGTAGTTCAGTACAGAGTTTGGTCATGAGCTAGATTATCTTGATATTTCTGACAATAACAAGCATTCTATGTTCTTTGTGAGCTGCCCCGAAGCTTTGTTGCGATGGGGGTGGCATAGAAATGTTTTAAATAAATAAATAAAAAATTATATATATATAAAAATAAACTATGCCTCATATATGAGGCACAGTTCTGTATTTTGGCTTTGCAAGTCAGTTGACCACCCTGGAAGAGTGGAAAGTAGCTTCTTGTTATACCACTAATATTAGTTCAGGTATTCACAGGGGGTGATCCTTCACAGTGTCTGTTCCTCAGATGAGTTAAGTAATGATTCGCCCTTTTATGGATACTTTTAGAATGATGTGCTTGTTTTTGTTTTGGTATAAGTATTTGCATAATTTGCTCTAAAGTGCTAAGTGAATGAATAAACTTAAGTTAAATTGGACTGTAATTCTCTGTGATGAATCTAGCAACTAAAACTTCTAGTACATCATCACTGGAATCAGATTGTAATGCTTGCCCTCCACAGATGGTAAGAATGGCAGCAACATAAAAATTAAGCAGCAAAGGAAATAACAAGAACTGAAGGTCCCTTTTCAGTTGTAATTGTGTGCATATATAATAAATATAGCAGTGAATTTTCTTCAGATTAATAGAGGGCTATTTCCACTATTATAATAGAATCAGTGTGGTGTAGTGGTTAAGTGTGCAGGACTGGGACTCAGGCAATCTGGGTTCCAGTTCCCACTTGGCCATGCAGCCAACAGGATGACTTTCAGACACTCAGCGTAAATGACCTCACAGGGTTGTTGTGGTGGGAATAAGATTGAGAGCGGGAGGAAGAGAATTACATAAGCCACTTTGAGTTTGTTGTAAGAAAAAAAGCAGGATATCGATCTAATAAATATTTTTTCTTATAACTCTTCAATGCCATAAGGTGGACTTTGATCCTATTTTATAGTAAAGTATATAGACTGCTGGAAAAACTGGATAGTATCCAGCTGTGCCCAATGCTAATAGTACTAACATTGCATTAGCATGAAGTAGTTTTCACATTGTAATGAACGCTCACTAGGTCAATGGAAAAAGCAGTGATTTGTTGCTGAAATTCACTGCAACTAAATTTTCATAGACAATTGGCACTTTTTTCCAATTACCCTAGCTAATAGTTTGTGAAAGTGTTAGTTTGTGCAATCACAATATCATTAGGGGTAGCAGCTGGTTACAGTTAAGATTTCTTAACTGTCTATTTTTAATATTTTATAGATATAGCCTTGGTGCTTTTAAATCTGCTTTATTCACAATGTGTGGTGTAACCTAGCATAGCTAAGAATGTCAGCAAAAATCCTAGATCCTACTCAATTTTTTCTTCGGGAGCCAACAATACTTTTGGTTTAGTTGCAATGTATAAGCCCAACTTTGAGGTCTGTAGTTATAAAAACTTGAGTAAAAACCCTCTGATTCTCTGAATCAAGGAAGAGAAAAATTAACTGAATCTGAGACAAAATAGCAGCCCTATAAATTTGATTGTCTTAAAATCATCCTCTTTTGTTTCACTTGAAAGATTTCAAGAGAAGATCAAGCGAATATATATGCTCATTGATTTCAGGCTTTTCAAATGAATGTTGAGAAGCCATTTGAGAATGGTATGCATATAACAATTTTTCTTAATTGTACAAAAATGTTAAGAGTCTAACTTGTCCCTTATTTACATTAAGGTATGGTGATGATGCTGGCCATGCTACAGACAATGCAGTAAATTCTGCCATCAATGTTGGTGTGACAGCTTTTAATATCGACAATATTGGAATCAAAGCTATGGTGAAGAAAACTGCAAAGGAAACGGGCCATGCTGTGTTAGATGAATATAAAATTGTTGGGAAAAATGAATTTAAAGCTATTGAAAAGAAAGAGAGAAAAGAAGATGGACACTGAAAACAATGTGTGAATGAATTGCCCAAAGCCTTAATGTGCTGTGTAACTTATTTTAAAGCAAATGGAGTATTAATTCAGAGAGAGTGTATTTGTCTAACTTTTAAGGCCCTGGAGTTAATTTATCAATATTGAAATTGGTCTTTTCCAGTATGAATTGTTTCAAGTTACCATAACTCCTTTACTACTGCAATATCTATAAATGAAAGTGTAGCAGCATTAACTTGCAGAAAGAGATTCAGATATGTCTTTTCTCTTCAAATTAAACTGAAAAAATAGAATCTAGTTTCATGTATGGAAGGACTATTTTTGTAACAGCATAGACAAATACTGTACTAATGAATTGCTTGAACAGTTACTAACTGCCTAACTGGATATATTACTTCACCTTTGCATAAACCACAAGCAAAACAAGTCAGTCCTTTTTAAAAGGAAAAAAGGTGGTATCCAGTGCTGCCCATCTGCTAACAGGACCAACTGTTCATGTAATGGGGAGCTATCAGTTCTAAAAACAAGCGATTTGTAGAACAGGCCAGAACAGCGGAACTCGCTAAAGGAAACTCTGTTGGACTGTTTTGATACTGAAAAAGCTGCTTAATTGTTTCCAGAGCTGCTTTTTGAACAGGTAGTTCCATTGATGGTACAATGGCTCCCACTTGTGCAACAGTGGAAATGCAGTGGTACACTTGGATACAGCTTTAGGAAAACTAGTTCCAAAATCTTACATAAACCAAAACCTAAAATATAACACTAATCCACTATCTCCTGGATTAGTGGTACAAAAGAGTTAACTAACCTTTGTGAAATCCTGGATTTTACTGGAATACATGGCAAAGTTCTTGCCAACTTTAGTATTTGGCATTATCCAGCCATTTTCTGAGAACAGAAGTTCTCTTTAAGGTTGAGACTATGTCAAAGAAAAGGTTGAGCTCTGCATAAAAGCTTTAATTATGTTCTGTATTTATTATAGGATCACTCTACTGTAAATTTAAAGTCTGTACTATTCAGAAGTGAATCTTGCTGTAATATGATGGAATGTAATACATTTTCTATTTTGTATGTTTACGTTTGTTTCACCTTAATAGCAGCTGAATTTTTCTAGTTGGGAAATTCTCTTACAATTGGTGTTTTGTTTTTGCTTCATATGTTGACAGAACTTGCTGTGAGGCTTCACAGATGCTAAATTTGGTAGCATTGATAACATCTATATGTAATGACAGTTAGGAATACATGCACTGTTTAAAGAGCTAACCACTTAATGTCTTAAGTATGAATTATACTCTTAAGATGCATGTGTTGGTTGCCAGTGTTTTTAATTGTGTGGATTTAATTGTAAGCTACAATGAACATCAGTTGAGTGGAACTGTAAGGATATTGGGAAGCATTTGTAACTTCATTTTGGGAATGTGAACTGGACTAAGGTTGGGCAGAGGCTGGTTCTCAGAGTAGAACTATGAGCTGCACCCACCAGAGGATGATGCAAAAGATAGGGGTGCAGATATGCAAACACCATTATTCCTGTTTTAGCAATATAATTTAGGCAAAAAGGAAGGGAAGTCACTTTGTAACTGCTTAGCATGCGGGAGCCATAAATCCTTCTGATTTACTGTTAATCACCCAGAGATGTGTTAATAGGTCCTGAACTGGTTGCTTTCTGTCTCCACTAGTAAGTATTGCATTTCATTTACATTTAGTTCTCACTCCCACATAGACTTATTCTTTAATATCTTTACAATCTCTGGTCAGTTCCTATCAATTAATAAAAATACAAATATACAAATTACAAATATGGTGCCTTTAACAGACACATGCCCCCTCACTGACACTTAGGAACTTGTCTTGGCAGAATATAATCAAAGCTGCCCCTATTCCATATCTATATGTTTTTACCCTAGCAGGAGCATGCAACTAGTACCACTCTTCTATGCCAAGATAAGAATCTCTGGTTTCTTTTAACCATTCTGAGAAAGCATTGACTCAGTTTTGAAACTAACTAGATTCTGCTGTGTTTACTCTTTCTAGTAATAAAGGCTGTCAAAAAAGGAGTGAAATATAGTTGGCTTAAATTGTAGGCGCCTGTTAAATCATTTGCTTATCTTGTGTGTTAAGGTATAACTGGAGGCAAGCAAGAGTTACTAAATTGAATAGAGGTATGCTTATAGGCAAAATGACTTTTGGAAACTCCTAGAGAAGAAACACATCTGTGTGGTAGCTTGTGAATATATGCATGTTCTGTAGCTGAAACAAAAAAAAGCTAAGCAATTCTCTCCTTTGGAGAGAAAGCCTTATGGAAAGTCTTGCTCTTCAGCTAGCACTTTCTTGGCCACATGATCGAGCAGTGTCTCGGGGGCTGGGAGACGTCATTTGTAGAGAGATGTTCTTGCGATATTCCTGTTTGCAAAGCACAAGGTTTTGTGGCAAAATCCGTTAAAAATTTCATCTGAGCATCATATTACCTGCTGCTCAGTTCGGCAATTCCTTGCAGTTTAAATAAAACTGGAGAAATGGAACCAAATCATGTGACCTGCAAAAACCCCGAGTCTCTCTTCCAGGCCGCTCTCCGGATACCGCTTCTCATTCCCAAGCGTTTCCCACAAGCGAATAGGGACTTCGGCCCCGCCCCTCCGAAAGGAAGCAACCCAATATGCGCATGCGCCCGCTTTCGCCTCGCGCAGGCGGGAGTCCGTCTTAGTGCCGTTTTCTCGGGCGGGCGCCATCATGTGACGTGACGGGAGGGCTTTCTAACGGTTCCTGTCACGTGTGCACCCGATCCGCCTTCTCCCAGGTTTTTGTCAAGGTGATTAGGACGCGCTGTTTGCTTGCTGGCGACGGCTGGTGGGCAGACGAAACCATGGGAGAAGGGGGGGAACGCAGCGAGCTGCTGGATTTTGAGGGAGCTGTGCTAGAGTTGGGGCAGCAGAAGCAGATGAAGTGAGTCTCCCTCGCTCAGCAGCACTGCAGAAATCCTGCCTGGCTGGCACAAATGGCTTATTCAGTTTTTGAGAGGCAGACGCAGAAAGTTCCGCCTGTGCACTCCATAGTGGTGCGCGAGAGGGGGGTAAGGAGCAGTGCCACCGCCCCTCAGAAACTCCCCTCCCACAGTTGAAGGCAAAGCACTTTGCACGTGCTACCCACCCGCTAAAATAGGCTGATGCTCCCACCGTGCATATAAAGAGTAGCAGTGTACTAGGTTTTTTATTGAGGGGTGGGTAGTCTGGCTTTATTTGTAGTGGCAGTAAGTATTTAGTTTTTAATTTGTGCTTTAGAAGGATTTAAAAAATGCAAATACTGACGTGTGCAATCGTAATGCAATATTTGACAGGAAAAAGTCCTGCTATATACATTGGAGGGAACAATTCAATGACCCCCTAGGCAGCACCTTTGGAGCACAGGAGATTTTGGAGGCCTCTTGAGGTTGGAGGTATGACCTCAGAAGGGGGAGTTGGTGATTCAACCCCTCCCCCTTGCAGCTGTAAAGCTCTACACAGCCTCCAAAGATGGAACTTGACTGAGGAGTGGGAGAGGAGGAGATTGGAGAGGCCAGTGGGCTTATGATAATTGAGGGTGCAATCTACAGGATTTTGTCCCAAGTAAACGTCACACAGTCTTTCAGAGAAGGACAGGAAGTTTAGGACAAGTTAGGATTGTGGGAGTTGGATCTTGCCTAAGGCCTTTTGAGTTTATGGCAAAAAGAGAAAATTTCAGACAAAAAGAATGTAGCCAGCAGGTTTCAACATTCTCACAGCTAAAATTTGATAATAAAAAGACAGTGTTAGGTTCTTATTATTAATTTTATTTCTATATCACAAGAGCCAAAGCTCTTTGGGTGCCTTCAAATATTGATAAACTACAGTATAAAATAACAGGAAAAACATAACATTTCACTGGCGATTTAAAAGTGAATTTTGACAACTTAAACAGCTAAGACAGCTCCATACAGGCAGTCTTAGCCTAACCCTGAAAGGATAGTGAAAATGGCACCAGATAAACCTTCGTGGGGAGATTGTTCCATGATTTGGGAGTTTGCTTCTGTGTTGCCATCAACTGAACTTTCCTTGGAATCTAACTTAGAGATTACCAGAGTATGAATTAATGAAGCCAGAAAGGGGCACAGCTGGGCTACCAGGCATCGCCTGCTTGTAGTCCAGGCCACCTAAGCATCATATGAAAAAGATGGTGCAAGGAGCACCCCCAAGCTACAAAGCAAGGGGAGTGCTATTTCATCCAGAAGAGGTTGAACACCCTCCATCTCGTCAAAGGAATCAGTCACTAATGGCATCTCTACTTTGCGTGGGTCAAGCTTCAGTTTGGTAAACTTTACTCAACCCATTGTTGTAGTTAGGCTCCAATTTAGCACATATTTGAAAGCCAGGGTGATTTGATGGTTGCTTTTGGGCTGGGGATCTGGGTTCTAGTCCCCACTCAGCCATGCAGCTCACTCAGCCATGAGTGACGTTGGCCCAGTCACTCATGCTCATCTTAACTTACAACCCGAAATAGAGCTATGTAATCTACTTTGTAAGCCACTTTGCATTTCTCATAAAAGGAAAAAGTGTGACATGCACACAAAATTCTTATTAATAATCTACAGAAAATGAAAGGGAGAAATAGAGTTGCATGTCATTAACATACTGATGGGGACACACTCCTAAACTCTGGATGGCCCTCATGTAGACACTGAGCATGTTGGGGAACAAGACTGACCCCTGACGAGCCCCGTAGTGGAGAATCACGGGACCAAGCAATATTCCCAAAGCAACATCCTCTGGAGCCAACCACTGAAACAAAGACACACCCCTTATTACTACTACTGTCAGCTGCCCCAATAGGATATCTTGACCAGTGAGGGGTCCAGGATTTTCAACAGGGTCACATTTTCCCTGTCTCCCAGCAGAGGTTGTCATATAGGGCAACAAAGCTGGTCCTATGCCAAAACCCAGTGTGAACCCTGACTGAAACAGACCTAGATCATCAGTTTCATCTAAGACTGCGTGGAAGTGGTTGAACACCACCTGCTCTAGGACCTTATGCAGGAAGAAAAGAGTTGCCACTGTCCTAAAATTGTTAGGATCTTCTAGGTCCAGAGGGTTTCTTCAGTAGTGGGCACACCGCTGCCTCTGTAAGGAGACATGGAGCCACTCCTTGTAAGCAGGCATTGATCACCTCTGTGTACCAACTGATTATTCCCTCCCTCCTAGCTCTTGTAATCTAAGAGGGATAAGGATCTGGTATGGATGTGGTTGTGTACAAAACTTTCAAGCACCTTGTGAACATTCTTGAGCTGTACTAACTGGAAATTCACCCAATAAAACTGGAACAGGTCATGCTCTGGTCCCGTCTTGAATGCATGCAAGAGATTTTATCCTGGAAGTGCCTAGCCAATATATTTCGGCTAAACCCAGATATAAGAGGTCTTTGGAGCCAGCATGTAATATGCCCCAGACAGCTTTGAAAAGCAAAAAAGAAGATTGAATAGATGCAGTGAGATGTTTCTTTGCCACCCTTACTGCCTGTAAATATGCCTGATGGCAGGCACATGTTGTTGTTAGTCACAAAGTCGTGTCCGACCCATCCCGACCCCATGGACAACATTTCTCCAGGCCTTCCTGTCCACTATCCCCTGGAGTCCACTTAAGCTCACACTGACAGCTTCAGTGACTCCATCTGGCCACCTCATTCTCTGCCCTACCCTTCTTTTGCCATCAGTTGTTCCCAGCATTGGGCTCTTCTCCAGGGAGTCCTTCCTTCTCATTATGTGGCCAAAGTATTTGAGTTTCATCTTCAGTATCTGGCCTTCTAAAGAGCAGTCAGGGTTGATCTCCTCTAGGACTGACCAGTTTGATCATCTTGCAGTCCAAGGGACTCACAGGAGTCTATCTGAGGTTGTTGATATTTCTCCCAGGAATCTTAATTCCAACTGGTGATTCATCTAGGCCCGCCTTTCTCATGATGTGCTCTGCATATAAGTTAAATAGGCAGGGCGACAGTATGCAGCCTTGCCGAACTCCTTTCTCAATTTTGAACCAATCAGTGGTTCCGTGTCCTGTTCTCACTGTTTCTTCTTGACCCGCGTATAGGTTTCTCAAGAGACAAATAAGATGGTCTGGTACTCCCATCTCTTTAAGAACTTGCCACAATTTGTTGTGATCCACACAATCAAAGGCTTTAGCATAGTCAATGAAGCAGAAGTAGATGTTTTTCTGGAACTCCCTAGCTTTCTCCATGATCCGGTATATGTTGGCAATTTGATCTCTAGTTCCTCTGCCTCTTTGAAATCCTGCCTGTACTTCTGGTAGTTCTCGGTTCACATACTGCTGGAGCCTAGCTTGTAGAATTTTGAGCATAACTTTGCTGGCATGTGAAATGAGTGCTATGGTGCGGTAATTTGAACATTCTTTGGCATTGCCCTTCTTTGGGATCAGAATGTAAACTGACCTTTTCCAATACTGTGGCCACTGTTGAGTTTTCCAAGTTTGCTGGCATATTGAATGTAGCACTTTTACTGCATTGTCTTTTAAGATTTTGAATAGCTCAGCTGGAATACTGTCACCTCCACTAGCTTTGTTGTTGCTCAGACTTCCTAAGGCCCGTTTGACTTCGCATTCCAGGATGTCTGGCTTGAGGTCAGTGACCACCCCATTGTGGTTATGTCGCGAACCTCTGTCCATAGTTCTTCAGGCACTCTGTCTATCAGATCTAATTCCTTAAATCTATTTGTCACTTCACATCAGGGATATGATTTAGATCATACCTGAGTGGCCTAGTGCTTTTCCTTACTTTCTTCAATTTAAGCCTAAATTTTGCCACAAGCAGCTCATGATCTGAGCCACAGTCAGCTCCTGGTCTAGTTTTTACTGACTATATAGAGCTTCTCCATCTTTGGCTGCAGAGCACACAGTCAATCTGATTTCTTTGTTGACCGTCTGATAATATCCATGTGTAGAGTCGTCTCTTGGGTTGTTGGAAAAGAGGGTTTGCTATGACCATCGTATTTTCTTGACAAAATTCTACCAGCCTGAGCTCTGCTTCATTTTGCGCTCCAAGGCCAAACTTGTCTGTTACTCCGGTTATCTTTTGGCTTCCTACTTTAGCATTCCAATCCCTCATGATGATAAGTACATCATTTTTGGTGTTAATTCTAGAAGGTGTTGTAGGCCTTCATAGAACCGGTCAACTTCAGCCTCTTCAGCACCAGTGGTTGGAGCATAGACTTCGACTACTCTTTTATTGACTATGAAGGCTACTCCATTTCTTCTGAGGGATTCTTGCAGTAGTATACCTGATGGTCATCTGAATTAAATTCACCCATTCCTGTCCATTTTAGTTCACTGATTCCTAAGATGCCAATGTTCAGTCTTGTCATCTCTTGTTTGACCATGTCCAGCTTGCCTTGATTCATGGATCTTACATTCCAGGTTCCTATGGAGTATAGATCTTTACACCATCGGACTCTCGTTTCACCACCAGATACATCTGCAACTGAGTGTCCTTTCAGCTTTGACCCAGTCACTTCATTCTTTCTGGTGCTACTAGTACTAGTCCTCCGCTCTTCCCCAGTAGCATATTGAACACCTTCCGACCTGAGGGGCTTATCTACTGGTGTCATATCTTTTTGCCTTTTGGTACTGTCCATGGGTTTTTTCATGGCAAAGATACTGGAGTGGGTTGCCATTTCCTTCTGCAGTGGATCACACGTTTTGTCAGAGCATTCTGCTATGACCTGTTCATCGTGGGTGGCCCTGCGCGGCATAGATCACAGCTCACAGGCAGTGATCCATGAAGGGGGATGGCAGGCACATACTAGGGCTCAATTGCATCCACTGGGAGTTTTTCCCCATCTGTGGAATCATGCTGTTTCCTAATTTGTTTCATCACTTTCAGCTCCAGGGTGAGTCATGGAACTGTATGAGCTCTTCGGCAGAGATGGTGCTTGGGAGAGATTGTGTCAACCTCCTGGACATCTCTGTATACCAGAGTTTAACTAGGAATTTGACAGAGCTATATGAGCTGGAATATCACAAGCCCTCCCTGGAAACCATCTGGATGTATTAACCATTCCAGGGGCAGTCCATCTCAATAGGTGGATCATGTTACAGAGGGGAAAAGTTGCTGTTAGTCTAAATCTCAACAGGCAATGATCTGAACTTGACAAGGTCACTCATTCAAAGTCTGCGACTTTTAGATCACCATCCCCTGGGAGAGAAAAGCAAATCTAGGGTGTGTCCTGCTACATGTGTTGGCCCAGTGGCCTGTTGGGATGATCTTACAGTTGTCATGGAATCAATGAAATCCTGAGCTATCCCAGAAAGTGTTCTCTCAGCATGGATGTTAACATGTCCCAGGACCAACAGCCTGGGGGACCTCAGCATTGCCACTGAGACCACCTCATCAGCTCAGATAGGGAATCTGTTTTGCTGCAGAACTTGGTACATCAGCAGAATCCCTAAATTCCCCTGCTGGCCCAACACAAGATGCTAATAACGCTCCAGACCTGTTATCAGATGGATAGGCAGTGGAGGGGGAGGGGAACCATCCTTCTTGGCCCTTGAGTTTATTGTGGTGCTGGACCAAGTACCACACTGGACACAACTAGGAGAGACTAACATGTTGCTTCATTTGTTATTGTTGTTACAGTTATTGCTCATGACAGAGCTACCCCTGACATTTTGTGTGCCTTAGGCACAACATTCAAAATGGTATTCATGCAAATTAATGAGTATGGGCCACAATCCATTGGAGGAGTTAGTTCTCCCTGTGCAAATCTTACTTGAAATGAGCACTAATGTGTTTTTAAGAATCTCCTGTTCATTTAAGTGGGACTTGTACTGGAAAACATCCATGTGGTTGTAGTTCAGATCAGTCTGTTTTACAATCTGCTTCTATGATTGTACCCATAGTGTGCTACCTGAGAAGGCTCCCTTCTGAGAAGGCTCATGATAAGCCTTCCCATCATTTGCCAGAGGTGATGGTACAGATGGGGATGCAGGAGGGTGGGCTTGGAGGTAGATAAGTGTGCCTGTGAGTAATTATTCCCATGGCTTCTCGAGGTTGCTTATTTATTTGTTTTGTTGTATTAGATACATTTACATCCCACCTTTCCTTCCAGCAACCAAGGGCAGGAAACATGATCCTCCTCCTCTGCCACTTTATCCTGTCAACAACCCTATGAGGTGGGTTAGGCTGAGGCACAATGACTAGCCCCAAGTCACATGGTGAGCTTCATGGAAGAGTGGGGATGAGAACTGGAGTCTTACCAGTGCTAGTCCGACACTCTAATTGCTGCACCAGTCTGGTTAGATGCCTGGTATTTCCTGGCACAATTTAAACATTCTGCCTGAAACTCTGATATCAATCAGTGACAGTCCTGGGCTAGGTGGCCTGATGGTCTCACTTTCCACATCCTGCACTTTAAAAAAAAACCCAAACCCATTAAAATAGGATACAGTGTTGCAATTTGGCATAGACACTTGTTTGCATGGACACAGTATCCATGGCAAATTGTAACTTTGTTGCCTACTGCAAAGTCCAGCAGAATCCTCATGGTTTTTTTTGTGGGGGGAGGGTTCATATGGCCCTGGGCTGCCTTCACTTTGGATAACATAGAGACACAAGGTCCCCCCTAATTCCCCCAGAACCTTTAAAAGGAGGCTTGGGGTGATAGCCCCCCAGCTCCTCTTCCATCTAAGCAGCTTTCCCTGAGGTTTTTTTTTGGGGGGGGGGTGCTAGGAATCCATAACCTACCCATCCATTTTCTGATTTACCTTGAATGGCAAAGCCTGAAGTAAATTCCAGTGTGTGTTGGGGGAAGACTTGTGATTTCAAAGACAAGACTGCCTCCCCATTTGCTTGACCTTAGTTGTGATCCTCTCTGCTAGTGGAGAGGAAAGAAACCTTTTCCACTTTGGGGCGCCTAGGAAAGGTGGTTGCCTGCTAGCTTCTTGACTAGATCAGCAGGACATTCTTCCAGTCATGCCAATGGACTCTGGTTTTTTGTCTTGACCATGACCTGTTTTGTGGTTTGGGTTCAGAGAACAACACAAACCATGGTAGGTATATTAAACTTGACTACAAGCCATGGCTTATAATCACCCTGCAGGTAGAATGCTGGAATCAGATAACACAGTATATCTCCATGGCTTATAAACCACCATGACTTAACAACACTTTTGCTTTGAGGGTCCCTCAGACTCACAGCTATAACATTATCTGGAAGAAGCAGAAAAGCACCTTATACAACATTTAATCATATGCTTATTCACTATGAACAAGTAACGGAAATGCTGTTAGCCCTGCATAACTATATTTTAATAGGTGTTCATAGCTGTAATTTAAAGTGGGTGGTTTGTGTCCTACAGCCAAAAGGTTATGATCAACTATGAATAATAAATAATGTGCTAGTGCTGTAAAAGCACATAAGGCATCAGCGGGAGTGGGAGTTCAGTAATCCCTTAGCCTTGGGCTGTGTGAAGTCTTCATGTGGTCTTGCTCAACACCATGCGCTCATATTGCCATCTGTGTATTTAGTTTAACACCTGTAAGCCCAGACCTAGCAAATACTGAAGGAAGGAGGAATGTGTTGCTTGTGATAACTGCTGCTTCACAGTTTTATAGGTGTTACACATTAAGAGTATCAGAAAAGTACCTGATTATGCTTTTAGAAGTATCCAAAACTCCTTTAGAAATAACCTTCTAAAAGAATTTATATCACCAACTTTTTTATATGTTTCTTGTCCATAGTTATTGTCCACTGGGATTATGTAACTACTTTTTCTCTCTGTTATTTCAAGAGAAGTATTGGAACTTTCAGTATATGAAATGAAAAAGACAGTAGCAGAACTTGAAAAAAGACTTGACTATGTTGAGGATGAAGGTAAGAGACTTGATATAAACTTCTGTGAAACATATAAACAGCTTCTGTGCATCTAATTACAATACCAATCCAATAACTATCTTCAGGCATTGCAGTTAAAAATATACGTTAGACATTGAGCTATGCATACTAATCAAAGCATACTGTTATATGTTTTATATTTCCCAAGAAGCAAGAATCTCTAACAGCTCTGATATCTGGGCTTTGGGTTCCTTGAAGGAGAGAACTCTGGAGACCTAAAGCACTCTTGTAGTACCTGCTTTATTTACAAATATTCAAGTAGAACAGACGTGGGGGCAAAGAGGCACTTCTTCAATATAGAAGAACAGCTGCCGTACAGATCTCCAGAGAGAGAGCTCCTATACTACCTGGGACTTTCAGACCCGACTATGAATGCTTTCTGCTTCTGTTTTTTATCGAGCTTAAAAACTGCTAAAATGCACCTTTGTTTCCCTATTAACCAGCAAAATATTATTAACCAAGGAATCTATCAACTAGCTGTAATGTTATTTTTTAATCATTAAATTTATATCCCACCTTCCCATTAAAAATGCTGCTCCAATTAGTCAATGGTAAAAAATAGAAGAAACAACAAAAATAATAATTAGTTTTATTGGATAAGCAGGATAAAAATAAATGGCAAGTTAAAGAGGCATGAATATAAAGGTGGTGGTGGTGGGGAATCCTAGTTCAGCCACAAAAACTTAGTTGCCAAAAACCTACCCAAATAAATGTAGTGAAAAGACAACACAGATGGAGGTAGTTATGTCATTTCCTCAGACTTTGAAGGTCAGCATTGGCTTTCCACTTACAGCAGGGGTGCCTAACTTGTGACTATCCAGAAGTTGTAGCCAGCACCCTTCATCATTTGCTCTGCTGTCTAGAACTGATGGGAGTTATACACCAAATATCTGGAGGGCCAAAAGTGGCTCATCTCCAACTAACAGGGTTCTACTACAGCTGAATCTTGTAACACATCAGCAGCATGGGTGCAGAGGATCTGATTGCTAGGCTTACATTAGATTTGTGTTCTGTATAAGATAAGATAATAAGTAAGATGATAACTATATAACTCTCCTTCCTCACCTCACCACTGTACAAAAACAGCAACAACTTGTTCCATCACTAAGTGCATAGTACCTTTGCACACAGGAGTTGATTAGAACATTTTGAAGCACTTTCTAAAATCCTGGAGACAGAAATATTAGAACAGAGTCAAACATCTGAATTATTACCAGAGATCTGATCCAGCCAAGTTACCTCATTTCAGGTTCAAGAAGACTTAGGAAATGAAATGATGTGTGTCAGAGAGTATATACAGTTCATTGAATACAATTATGAAACTTGTATGCAGAGTATAAACCAAAGAACTCTTACAGTCCCCTGTTGCCAACACTGAAGGCCATAGCTCCAAAACCTATCCTGGCATTTGGATGCTGGAAAAGATCACTACACCATCTTTGCAACATCCTCATTGTTCTTTCAGTAGAGCCCATACAAGACAAGGTCTTCCCAAGTTTCCTTGCTCCTCAGACAAGAGTACACTTTATAAACTGTCCAGAGAGTTTGGGCTATTGGGCAATATGCAGAGGAGAGGACAGGCCAGGACGGAGTTAGTATATAGCTATTACCAGAGACACAGTAAGGATCCTCTGTCAGGAGATCACCTGTCCTGTTTTCAGCCAGCGAACGGGTCTCCATTTGTGAAGTGTCCCATGTACTATTATACACATTGAGAACCTATGCAGTTCTGGTCTATCATGCTATGAATGTAGGTTACTTTGTGTTACAGATGACAATATTAAATAGCATTTTCAGATAGGGCTGTATGTTCAGACTTTTGTAAATGCATGGTTCTTGATTTTTTTATGTGAAGCTTTGGGGTTCTAGAAGTTTATGAAGTCAAAGAACAATAGCCACTGTAATTTGTTTTTATTTTAAGACAATGAATGGAAAACCAGATATGAAACCCAAATAGAATTGAACAGACAGATAGAAAGGCAAATTGGACTTCTCCAAGTAAAGATGGATCATGTTCGTGGCAGCCCAACAGGTATGGCTTTTTGTTTGATATTGACAATTACTACACACAGAGATCCTCCATATTTGCATATTATTTATCAAAAGTCTTGTGTATTTTTCTTATCTGTAGACAGATTGGCTTCTGTACGCTCTTTTGATCAAATGCACATGGTAAGTACAATGCAATTTAATTGGATGAATAGCTAGTAAATTTACCAAATGAGGAAAATTATGCCTTGTAAGGTAATTTCAAGAATCTTTCTCCCTCTCCCATTTCATAGCATTTCTGTTTAATTTTGTATGATGACTGATTTTGTGCATTGAATAGGTACATTTTTAACTATTTCAGTGACTATAGGCCAGTTCCCTGACACCTGCAGATAAAGCCTGTGTGTGCCCATTTTCAGCCTATGAGCAGCTAGTCACTGCTTACTGCTATGTGTACAATTTGACCTTAATTAAACATTGATAAATGCTGGGAATAAGACACGTGTCTCAGAAGTGCCTCATGCAGTGGGAGGGCAGGAGTAGGATTTCTTGTATGCTGGTTGGGTGCTTCTACTGCAGTGACTCTCATGGTTCTTGGATCCAAGCCATAGCTGTCATGTGCCAATAGCCCATATTTATTATGCTCTGGTTTGCAAATAATGGTGGCAAATTGTGGGTTAATTCATCCACAGTTTGTCACACCACATTACCAGTGTATTACAGATGTCATGAGAACCTAGACACTATGGGTTAATTGTGGGTTAAACAATCCAAAGTAAATCTAACATACAGTTTTAGATGAAGTGGGTTGTTTAACTCACAGGTAATCTCTAGGGTCCAAGTTCAAATATCAGGGAGCAGCCTCTGCTAAGGTCAATCAAAAGCTTTGTGCTCAAAATGGCAGTGGACCCTGGCAAATTGTGAACTATTGCATATCAACTATCTTGAGTGCTACCTTTGGTAGAAAAGTGGAGTATAAAAAAATAAAAACAAAAGAGGTATTGTAGGGACTAGGCCCATTTCTTCTGAAATACAGCCTTCCAAGGGGGTTACCTCAGAATCTAGATCAGAACTGGAAGAAGTGAGTTTGCAATTCTCAGTTGAAATGCCAAGAGCCCACTGAGAACCAGTTCACATATGGAGTCAGATGGTGGATGTAACATGTTCAGTCCCGTAGTCTGGCATCAGATCAGAAGGGCAGACCAGCTGAGTAGCATTTCTCATTCCTGCTACCTGGTCTACAAGCAGCAGGAACTATCCTAAGGGAGGTTGGGAAGGGAGGAGATGGCTTCAGTTTGGAACCAACTTTTTAGCATTAAGCCTCATTTTACTAATAACTGATATCTTTTGTTAATTATTACTGTAGTACTCCTGTTTTGTATCAGCCAGCTAGCCGACCAGTTTAACCTATTAAAGACGGTTGTTCGAAGCCCTTTGTCCTGAACTGTTTGTGGATGCCTGTTGGGGGTCAGAAGTCCAGCTTCTGATAGGTATAAAGGAAGGTTTCACCTTATGGATGAAGCCCTGTTTCTCAGAGAAAGTAGGGGTGGGTGGGGCAAATCATATGCTAGTGTATTTGTTGTAAGCCCAAATCTTTGTTAACTATTAAGTATGAAAAGTGTGTGGACATGTTATTTCTTTTTTCAAAGAAATACATTTCATGTTATTATAAACTGTTGTCTATTTGAGTTGAAGTTGACATACATGCATCATGAAGAAGAAAGACTTGTGCTGGAGGGGCATGCTGGGTACTGATAACCCACATGGCACTATATTGATGTTCTGTGAATTACAAAGAGGCTCTGCTCCAGGCAGAGCCAGTGCTAATCAGCAGGACTGCTTGGCAAGGAAGGGTGGCCCCTGAGCAAATAATCATACCAGCAAGGAACCTTCTAGCTATGCAGGGCAGCTGGAGTGTGGGAAGAGCAAAGAGCAGGAGCTTCGTTCATTTTTAAAACTAATGCTGATTTTTTTTCTTGAGGAGGAGGAAACACCACACAGGTGAGACAGAGAGCTGGTTCCTTTTATTACTTCAGAGTATGTGTAATCTGACAGGCAGGAGGGTTATTGTTGTTCTGCCGCACAGTCATGGCCAACTCTTCATGACCCCATGGACCATAGCATGTCAGGCCCTCCTGTCCTCCACTGCTTCTTAGAGTTCACCCAAATCCATGTTCATTGCATCAGTGACACTATCTAACCATCTCATCCTCTGCTACCCCCTTCTCCTTTTGCCTTCAGTCTTTCCCAGCATCACAGTCTTTTCCAATGATTCCTTCCCTCTCATTATGTGGCCAAAGTATTTGAGCTTCAGTTTCAGTATCTTTCCTTCTAAAGAACAGTCAGGATTGATTTCCTTTAGGATTGACTGATTTGATCTCTTTGCAGTCCAAAGGACTTTCTGGAGTCTTCTCCAACACCACAATTCACAAATGTCAATTCTTCGGTGTTCAGCCTTCCTTATGGTCCAACTCTCAGTCACACATTACAACTGGGAAAACCATAGCCTTGACTATATGAACCTTTGCAGGCAAGGTGATAGCTTCCCTTTTTTGTAAGCTGTCTAGATTTACCATAGCTTTCCTCCCAAGGAGCAAGCGCCTTTTAATGTCATGGCTCCAGTCACCATCTGCAATGATCTTGGATCCCAGGAAAATAAAATCTGTCACTACTTCCACTTTTTTTCTTCCATTTGCCAGGGCCAGATGCCATGATCTTAGCTTTTTAATGTTGAGTTTTGAGCCAACTTTCTGCACTCTCCTCTTTCACCCTCATCAGGCGGTTCTTCAGTTCCTCTTCACTTTCTGCCATTTAGAGTGGTATCATCTGCATACCTGAGGTTGTTGATATTTCTCCCTGCAATCATAATTTCAGCATGTGATTAGCCTTTTGATACTGTCCATGGGGTTTTCATGGCAGGGATACTGGAGTGGGTTGCCATTTCCTTCTCCAGTGGATCACATTTTGTCAGAGCTCTCTGCTATGACCTGTCCATCTCGGTGCCCCTGCACAGCATAGTTCATAGTTTCATTGCGCTACACAGGCCCCTTCACCACATCCATGAAGGGGAGGCAGGAGGGTGTGAGTGAGTAAATAGTATCTATACTGAACATTACAATGTTGTGTGTGTGTTTGTGAGAGAGAGAACTTTCATAGTAGCTTGAAGTTCCCACCAATGTTCTTTTAGATGTAAAAACTGGGTAATGTTTTCAACTGGTTTTATTGTTTTGTACTGTTTTATATATTTTTTTGTAAACTGCCCAGAGGGCCCTATGGACCAGTATGATTGCTGTGCCAGCACTTAGTTGAATTAGATAGCCCATTACTAAGAAACACTAAGGTTTTTAAGAGATAAGAAGTGGGGGATGGGAGGTTGGGGGTTGCTGAATAAGATTCAGCCCAAGATCCATAGATATCACAGTAGCAGTCCATCTGTTGGGCATTTTGTTGCAGTGGCCACAGCAGCTTCTCTCATTTCCAAAAATGTCCATGGGTCCAAAAATGTTTGGGACACCAGCTTTGAAGTTTGTATGTATACATGCGCTCTGAGGCTTGTGTGTTTGTGCTTGGGGGGAAATGAGGAACGTGCCTCTGTGCATGTGTATGCACAGTCTGGGTGTCTGTGTGTTTTCAAATGATTTTGTGCTGGTTTTTCAAAGAATATCATCATCATCACCACATGCAAAGGGATGAACTGTGGATAAGGACATAGAAAGCTAAACTTTCTTCTGAGCTGTCCAGTTTTCCTTACTCTTACAGGATATGCATAATCTGGAATTCTGTACTGCGCTACTTCTGAGCTGCCACTGTTCTGATGGATGCTTTGTGATGGAGGTACAAAGCTGTGGATTTTTGGATTCTTTGTCCTTTGTTCCTAAGGGTACTTTTCTGTGTAGCTCTGAGAAAAACTTAAAATTAACCACCAGGGGGCACTTTATATTTAAATATGCTTCAGGTTCTTAATTTTGGAATCTCTATCTCCTGGAATAGCTTAGTAAGATATTGGACACAACTGAGGCAATGATAAGCCTGTTGCACCCCATTAGTTCCAGTGATAACAACAGGGTTTAAATTGCTCTGTTTTGTTTTTGTGTTTCTTTGACGAAAGTATCTTTAAGCAGTACATAACAGTATAAAATCCAATAGTAGAGGAAAAGATGCCTCTCTCTCATTTTCTTTTATTTCTGTGCAGCAAACCTGATACAGGTAGCAAATCTAAATGTTTGCTGAATAGAAGCAGTACAGTAATGCCCATAATGTTAAAATATGTAACTACGCCAGCTATAGAGGCTGTTGGTGTTGAAAGGAGGGGACACTTTCTATTTTCTGTGGCTCAATATTTGCATTCAGTTTCAAATGGCAGATTGAATAGATTAAATGGGGTTCATGGTGGCTTTCTCTTTTCATGACATGGCAGTCAAGTATATGGCATCTGTGCCTCTACCTGATGAGGAAGTAAAAAAGAATGGAGGTGAGAATAAAATTAATTATTTTAATATTTAATATCCAGCAGTTAATATGCCAAAATCTGGGGAAAACAGATTTGCAATCCTTTGTGAGGGTTTAAAAAAGTATTTTGAATGCTGGGGCCAAATTAATTAGAGATACTACTTCATTGCTAATTAAACTTAGTGCTATATTATGTGATTACTTTCTGTGTTAACAGTTTTAAAAACTAGAAACTCTTTGCTGCTAAATAGCTTAAAATGGAAAACTCTTAAATTAATATTATGGAAGAGGAGAAATATGAATTTGATGAAGCTGTTATCTGCTGAAACATTGCTTAATATCAAAATGAGACGAAAGAAGCACTCTATCAAATTAAAATCTCCATTTGTTTTAGAGTACATTGTATGGGGAGCTGTCTTTTCAGACTGCTTGGAAGGGTCTTTTTAAAACAGAACTGCTGGGCCACTACTGACCTTGGCTGATGTGATCATGTGACACTAGTACTCCGTCAGCTTCCGGTCCTTTTTAATGCTAATTACAAAATGTTTGTGTTCATGTTAAAGCCTTAAAAGGCTTTGAGCCAGAACTTTTCCTGCCCGAGCCTGTTCAGACACTTAGGTAATTTAGGAGGCCTTCTGGGATTTGCCTAGTTAAGGATGGGAGCAGGTAGGTTCATGAGAAAGGCCTTTCTCAAATATAGTATCCTTCCTAAGGAGGTGCTGAATTGTTATCTT